TGTGGCCTGACTCGGAGGCGTGCGCGATCGGACGGGTTTCTTAGGCTCCGTCCTAACAGATGCATCCTGATTTGCAGCTGGCAATGCGGTTTGATCGTTGTTTCAACTTGTTTTTACAACCACTGGCTATGCACTTTTGGTGGCTGTCTCACGACTGCCCATTTAGATGGAGGAAGTGGAATGTTGAAACCAGTCTGGGTGAAAATGGAGAATTCAAGAACCAATCGGGCAGAGAATCACTTTCCGACAGTTTGTTGCAAGTTCAATCATTTTCGAACCAATCCCGTCTCCGACTGAATGCTTTTAAATACATTGAATACATTTTTAGTTTTTCCCGATCCGAATACCCCCTGGATCCCTCAGTCATCACGAAATACCTAGGAGTTACCATAGATAGCAATCTACGGTGGTCTTCTCATGTGCTTGCTTGTGTTGGTAGACTGCATCGCTTGTCTTTTCAAATACGCAAGCTACGACAATTTCGCGTCAAGCATGAAACTGTGTTCCTTTGTTTATCAATGCATTTTTCCTATCATACTTCATTGTTCGCCCGTTATTTTACAAGGTCTACTTAGGAAGGACTTCATTACTCTACGTTGCGGTTTGGTGATTATCAGCCGTGTTTCTCTTATTCCTTTAAACACTCTGATCACAAAATTGTGTAAGTTGCATATCACTTCATGTGAGAACTTCGCTCAAAAGACACTCTGTGACCCCAGTCATCCACTCAATCCTGATTTATCTGCTTGCCGTTCCCACGCTTCAACCCAATCCAATTTTCGCTGCTCGCCCTCCCGCATAAACATTTACCGCAACTTAACGGTTCCCTATTTGGCTCGTACGCTCACTGACACGGTGAGGTTCCGTAACGAACTAATTTTAAACTTACAAAGATGAACACCTATTTAAGTTTTATCATTGTTGTATATTATTTTGATTTCATTTTTTATCCCACTGTAACGGTGAAAACATTTTTGACTGAAATGTGGGCACAGTCGCCTGCACAAATCTATAATACAATCTTCATCCGGGGAGCCTAACGTGACCTATGTGAGCAAGTCTCCTTGTTAGGGTTTTCATACCCCCATGCCAGGTCTTATTTTGGCCACCCTTTACTTTTTTCAATCCATCACTTGCCCTGGCAATTAATTTGGTGACATGCACATCAGGTCCCAGTCAACCTAATCCATGGAGCTCGACCATCTCACCCAGTGAGTGGACGCAAATACCTGGAACCGTGCGCCAAATCTCAGCATTGATTATCCGATTGTCCCGTCAAACTCGTGCAATGCGGGGTTCGAATACCGACAGTTTACCTTTATCCTGTTTTCGCACGGTATGGCAGAATTGCTGCAGCATACATTCGCCCCCACCCCCCACAGAGAGCTGTATGTTGCGACGACGGCACAGATGTCCCCAATCGGCAAGTAACTAACAATCGAGCTTTCTGTACGCGTTCCGACACTTCATCTATGATGCATCCACCGGGTGAGATTTAGCTGTTCAGATAGCAAAATTTGTTCACTACCTCAATCACTTCTCCAGTTGAAGTGAGGCTGGAAGCTGGATCAACCTATATCGTTGTAGGGTGATGTCAACAACTCTGGTGTGCACGTAGATTCGAAAATTAGTTTAGCAATCTGCAATTTCCGTGACCGAACGGGACACTCCAAAGAATAGAAAATGGATTCACAGCGGAGGAGAAAAGAGTTCTATTATAGAACGGATCTCGTTGGTCATCATGTGCGTCAGTTGAACTCATCGAACTAATGCTTTGCGCAGGTTACGATGTGCGAAAACGTTGCCAGGTTTCTCTTCATGACTCACATATTATGCACCTGACATCAGCGAGGCGCAAGTCGAAGAAAATACAAGATCGTTTTTAAAAGCGAACAATAATCAACTTTTGAAGAGAGGACGAGACAAATTGGTAGTTTATCCGGAGACGCGGTGAAGAAATAAAATTGCATGATTGCTTGTGCGTCCAGATATCGGAATTACGCTTATATAAAAAAAGATTGGAATAGTCAGTCAAGCTGGTTGTGATCTGAATTGCTAACGACGAAGGGTCGTGGAGTGGCAACCAAGTACAAGTGTGAGAGAAGCGAGAACGAGGATGTTCGTTCTAGTGCCGGTTCAGAAGGTGCAGAGACATACAGTCCACTACGGGGGTGGGGGCGGCGAGGGTTGAAAGTGTGAAGGTTTGGATCATCTGGTATGTATATATGCTTGTGTGTGCGCGCTTTAAAAAAGAGTAGCGTAATGGGTGAGTGAGAGAGATGAAACAGAACTGAAAAGATATTACAAGTTTGATTTGCAATAGATCAAGAAATGCTTTTGGACGAGAAATGAACCGGATCAGAGGATAAACCAAAATCAAAGCGTGTAACCAGGCACGCATATAACTGCTGAAATAAACGAAAAATGAGTCAAAATGAGAACCGAAAATGTACGGTGCAAAACCGAAAATAAAGGAACAAAATCAACCGATTCCGAAGTGCTGCTCTTATCTGTTGTCGATTGAGGTCAGCGGTAGACCGAACACAATGCGTCTGTGCCAGCAGAACGTTTGCACAGTTGAAGTAGGGCGAACATTGATCAAAATGAATGAAACTACATGGGTTCGTGTAAATTATCCGTGTTTTTTGATATCACAACTGTACACTGACAATGGCCAGAATCATGAAACAGTATTTGTAAGATACTAACGTTCGAAGGACTATTTCCGGCCCGCGTTGTTTTTTTCGTTCGAGACCATTGGACCAATCTGAAAGCAGATTTAGAACAAGAACGAGATGAGGCGGTAGAGATTAAAAAAGCCCGAGTGAATTGACAAGAAATTTTGAACCAAAAACTAAGGTCAGATTTATGATGAAGACTAGGGACGACCCCGATGTGAGCCAGTTGGCACAGTAGTCCCGCACAGTACTTTCGCGAATCTCGAGTACAATGAGATCTCAGGAGAGCGAAACTGGAGTCTAGTGCTTAGTTGACTGGAGAAATTGGGACTTGTGCATGAAGATGAAGTATGGTCACTGTAAAACATGTATCTCATACCAATAAGTGAACTGAAAAGTGAAAATTTGAATTTTATTGAGGGCATAGTGTGACATCGTACACAATTTGTAGCCATTAATTTTTTTGCTCTTAACTTACAGAAGCAATGGAACAATCTAACGGCAAATATTTTATCATTGTGCATACCAAGGATGAACAATTGATTCAAAAACAAGAAACACTAAGGGCCCGTATGTTATTCGAGAAAGAAGGAAAAAGAATTTCAATGGAATTACAAATACACCTTCATGAAACGAAGCATGAGATATAACACCGCCAGATTGTGGTGAGCACTTTTCACAGAATGACATATTTCTGAAATAGAATGCATAAAACGTAAACTGAAAAGCTAAGAGGGTATCAGTTATTTGTATTAACATGGACAACAGTAATGCGTATCTACAAACCGCATAGGCTATCCGTAAGCATGTTACCAACTACGGAGCTGATTGTATTGCTCTACTTTTTTGGATTATTACAGCACCACGTATATTTGAATGTCTGGTTAAATACACGAACCAATTTTATTCATCCGCTTAGAAGCAACATATGTACAAACTGCACAGAAAGCCTTCCTTAAGTGGTCAGTTTGTAGACTTTTATGGTGGAGTATTTAATTTGAAGTTGGTCGTATTTAAGGCCTTGACCAGGAACTACGTCACTTAGGTAGTCTACCATAACTGCAATGGTGTCATTGCTCTTCGTTGGAACTGACAAAACTGTACCTCGGAGTATCGTTATCCGTGGCAGTAGAGTGTGACCACGGTGCGCTCTAACAAAGACGATTGGAACGGCCATGTTAGAGTGCGGAAAAAAGATGGTAATCACAGGATCAGGCACAGCTCTAGTCCTCATCATTGGCTGGTGATTGTGCTCGATGCAGCAGCAGAAGACGGTCACGACTACCACTGCGAGTGTCCACTGGATCAGTACGATGCGATTCAAAGTTAACCGAAGGCTCAGTGGACTGTTCTATCCATTCCTGAACGACGGACAATTCTTTAGGTTCGTGGGACGATTCAACTGTAAGTTCGGTTGGGCCACCAGCGCTTTGCGGTTCAGATGATTGTGGCGGATTTGAGAGCTGGGCAACCACTCTAAAAGCATGAGTGGTCTGAGAAGGTGAATCAGTGTGCTTCGGGAATTCTATTTCGGTACTGTTCTCTGTCGGTCGATCGTCTGAATCCCGGAGATTAGAGTAGGACCATCCAGAACCAGGAGAGTTCAGAAGCGGACAGGCATTTTTCAGCGCCTGGTAGACGAAAAGCAAGTTGCACATGGTTTTCAATTCAAACCGAAAAGGAACACGACCCGATAATACGATACCAGAAATAGGACACAAAGTGCAAAACTGTTTGACTGATATTGAAATCGATCACCGATGAACATTCAATTACAATCAATAGCTGAAACGAAAGGCTTTGCACAACTCGAAAATGGCGCCGTAAAAAGTAACTGCTAAAAGCTGAGTTAAATAAGAACATCTCGACAGGTAGTCAGTGCAAGACAAAGGTTACTTGTTCAACGGAAACAAAGGCTTTGGATGTATTTATCTAATATTTATTTGCTACAACAGGTATGCATGAGGCTGATGGACGAACGCGCGTCCAGTAATCACAAACAATAATCAAGAAAGGAAAACAACGATGTGAGTACCTTGAAGAGTATTCACAAATTTCCGAAGCTGCTAATATTCACAATAAACTGATTGAACAAAAGTCGTGAGGAACAAAATATCTGACATAACATCTTTCCATTTTGTTATTCACCATTGTATATGAAAAGACAAAAGACCAAAAGTGATGACGGGTAAAATAAATGCATTTTTTACAAGGTCATTATATTGATTCTACAAAAGAAAACCAGCAGATTATCATTTGAGATTAAATAGGGATTAGCTTTATCCATGTCACAATATGAAATATAGCTCCTCAATGCCAGTTGATCGCGAATCCTCTATTAGTTACCTTCTTCAAAAAGGGATGCCTCAGAAGTACGTTGATTTCCTGAATTCACTGTACTCACATACCTCTGGTCGAGCGAGTAGTAAGTAGTAAGTAGGCCGTTTGTCAGCGGTGCTCTATTTCGCCATTCCTGTTTAATTTCCTCGTAGAAGAAATTCTGGAGAACGCACTAAGTGATCGCCAAAACGCAGGTATCGAATAGGCAGCAGGAGAAAAGCTATGCGATTTGGAGTACACCGATGACATCGTCTGTCTGTTCGAATGTATGGGGACCAGCAAAGCGAATTTGACAGACTAAAAAGTGCTGTTGCCACATTCGATATGTGCTCAAAGTGCAAGTGTGTGCTGTAAGACTGGATGTCTCCTACTCCGGCTTTGAAGCCAAATGGCAAGGAATTAGTAAAATTTCCTACTTATGTGGTGTGACAAATGGCGGTAGCGCAGCCACGGAGATAACCGCCCGCATTTCCAAGGCTTGAGCAGCATACGCAGGACTGAAACACCTTTGGCGTAGACGCGACGTTTCACTGAAGCTGAACAGTCGTGATTAGTATGCTACCGGTCGTTCAGTTCTGTTTTATGGTTGTGAGACCTTAAGTTTACGAGTAAAAGATATCCATCCATTATCGGTATTTGCGCAGTTTAGCTCATGAGGGACGGTGCGAACAGGTTAGCAATCTGGAGGTAAGCAGTCGTGTTTCGGGGGGAGGATAAGCTTGCTAGCTCATCGAATTCAGATTCGTAGGCTTCGCTGGCAAGGGCATGTATCGCATATACCCAACTGTCGTCTGTCGCAACGCGCATTATTCGCTGTAGCCTATCCAGATCGGAGGAAATCTCATGAAGGTCAACAGATGACGTGGAGACGAGGCATGAAGAGATGTACTGGGAGATTAGGTAGAGTCAGTATCTCGCGCATACTAGGTTGAGGTTCGAAACACTCTGTAGCAGGTTTGTTGGAGACATCAAAGAATACGACAGCAGTGGCATTCTTGTTGTCATTACTTATCAGACCAGAACGCTTGAAGAGGTATGTATGTACGGTTTGGTTTTACACTCTGTGTATTGACCATTTAGGTTAACTTCCTTCAAAATAGGTCCAAGACCTGTCTACCTTACACATTACCACTAAACTTGTATGCATTGCTAGCTTGGCAGCGATCAGTGAAGCTCGATTCACCGTATTTCGCTGTACCATGACGATGACGCTTAAGGCCACTGAGCCCTGAGAAATTTCCCCCGTAAGAGAGCGAGAGAAAATTAGTTTGAAAGGGGAAGTCTTTATATACAATATACATATATATATACTCTTTACTAATACTACAGAACATAGGTACACTGGCTGTCTTTGACGTATGCTGTGTGAAAGAGGTTCGGCACTCCAGTCCGTTTTGACATTGGGCACACTAGAAATGCCCACTCTAAAATAGGGCTGAGGTTCAAACCCCAGTACCATAATTTTTTCTCGCCATCAGCACAATAACCGAGAAAACCAAAATTATGAATGTTTTAGAAGGGATAAGTGCCATCTGTAGTAGTGATAACATGTTAATAACTTCTGGTGCTAGTCCAGGCAGCCTAGTGGTAATGTGTGGAACTAGTGACTTTGCATGACTTGGATTGAGCCATCGAAGAAAAAAGAGCTTATTCATACCGATTCCAAAGAGATACACATGCTTGAGCAATCGTTCTCCTCGTTACCCTTCATGTGCACGCACAAATAAGAGGTAATAATACTGCTCAAACCAATCAGTGGCAAGTTGTTTAAATTTCGGTTTTTGTTTTATTCAACCCGGGTGTTAAACGATCAACAGCTCTGGTGAAATTTAACCCAGCTCATAAGTGCCACCAAAACCTTTAATGTACACAAATGCTACTGCTGTTCTCCATTTGAATTTTTCGAGGAAGGGGTAGATTGTACAACCAAATAAGAGCTTATAGAAAACGTGTGTCAACATCGTGCTGTGATATCTGGTGTCCTGTAATATTTGCTCAGTTAGCAACAGTTTCGATAACAATAACTGATTTTTATTAGACGTCCTTTAAAGAAAACTATCCTAAAAGAGTAAGAGAAAAGCAAGACAAGAGCATAAAAGATGAAATTTAACTAGGTATAAAGCAAGTATGAACTCACGCAACTCTGTGTGCCGTTCTGATTCGCAGTCTTGAAAACTAACTCCTTTTTCACATTTAAAGTTTGCAGTTCAACGAATTCCGGTGGTCCTGGCGACCATATGTTGCTCAAATCATTACAACTGCGACTGCGCAATATCGTTGATTTACCAGCCTCACGACAGTTACTACAAGAGGAGGAGGAGGATGAGGATCTGGAACTTGTACTCGAACTTGAGCCCGGATTTGTCAGGACGGACCAGCAAAGAAACCGGCGGCGACGTTCTGCGGTTTCTTGACTTTCGGGGTCATCCCGTGTTCTTCTTCGGGTCCGAGTAATCTCAATCATCGGTTCGACCGGGTTGGAATAAAGGGCAAAACCACCAATCTCTTGGAGTGGTGTCAAACTGTGCGATTTTGCCAACCGCCCTTTTGGATTGGGAGAAGGCATTAGATTACTTTTGATTAGCTTAGGTGACCCACTATTCGTGGTCCGCCCGGGAGTCTCCTGATCGTCACCATCAACAGTTGTCGTATTACGGAGATCCGCGTTCGATTGAACCCATTCCGTATTTGATGGTAAATTTAATGAGCTATGCAATTCTAATTCTCTTTCGTCTACCTCGGGCACACTGGAAAGTGTGCGAACAGGACCGTATTGCGGACCGCGACGCTGGCGTCTTCCGGTCCAGAAAACTTTAGCTAATTTTATCCGTTTGCTTGGATGGTCCCCCAATCCTGCCCCATCCACTAAAACAGCAACATTGGGACATGTGGCAGAATCGCGCCAACGACCAAGGTCTCCCTCCTCAGCAAGATCTAAGTGCCGTTTTTGGGAGCATATTCGCACCAGGGCACATATAAGAACCAGGGGCACTGGGGCCAAAACTGCAAGGAAAAAATGGGAAAATGTGATCAGTTTTTCAACAAAGTTGACGGCTCTTATGAACTATGTTTAGCACTATAAAACTACAAGCAGTGACACGGTAGAAAGCTTCGAGGAGGGAAACAAACGGAAAGTAAAGTGACAATACATGTTGGGGAAAGAGTATCTCCATTAGTGTTTCGCAAGCCATCGCATGGAATAGCTTGGTGAGGGCTACAAAAGCATTGACTCATACGTACACACTCGTGTGAGCGTGGCGATCAGTATACTGATTAATCTTTTGCACAATCCGCTTCATGTAATAATCACGACTCAGAAGCGTTCGACCAGGTCCTTTGAAACTGCCAATTAAGCATTTCAGACCATCAAACACAACTCAACCATCACTTTTGGTGGGAAAATGATTGACAATATATATACAGGGATAAAATCGGTCTGATAGGTAATGTGCGACAACTGAAACATATCCGTATTCACGAAAGAACGCCAGAGACGAGATTCAAGGCTGCTTGAATTGCTTCGCATGTGCGTGATACATTCAAGAAACATTGAATAGAAGTTTACTTCTTCATTATTCAAGACAATGTCGTTGGTGAGTTAGTGAAACCGACGACAGTGTTATCAGCAAAAATTTTTGGCAAAAGATATAGAAAAAGACTGCAATAGATACGCAAAGAATAGATGGAATTTAAATGTATACAAAAGAAAGAGTGATCGGATTTGGAATAATGGTATTGTTTGAACTGCAGTAGTGCACATACACACTGAAACAGTTGAATGTTTTCGCAGAGAGATTGAGATAAATGAATTCTCGTTTGCAGAACTAACCGGTTCTCCTCCGGAGCGATGGCGAGATTGATTGACAGAACAATACACATTCGAAATTCCATCTATAGTATCGTGCTGAGAAAGATATTGACAGTGATCAGCAGCATTGACACAATTCGCTCCGATAAGTTCAAGAGGAAAATGGGTAGAAAGAACACGCCTACCAAAATCATATCCACATGGGTCTAATGTCGGACCCATACGATTATTCAATTATCTTCTACTAAAATGGAATGTGCAGATGCTGTGCACTATAACAACATCAAAGTTGGATAGTGTTAGGGACTAAAAATACAATTAATATGGCAATTAAACTGAACAACAACAACCACCAATTGATGCACTTAAAGAGTAGCTTCTTAAAGCCATTAAACTACTATGCACGTCTAACGCTATCATACGAGGGCTGAGCAAGAGGTTTGCGGATACGCAGTAGACGTACGAAGTGTAGATGACCGGGCAAGGAAAACGTGAACTGCAATCTATGGTGCATATATTTTAGTGATTGCAAACCACAGAACCAAATATCAACCGCCGGGCATAGTCATAGGAGTCGGTATACTCTTTTTATAATTAACCATTAAAATGTGATGAACAACAGACAGGGTAAACCCCATAGTCACGAGAACCTGCTGTTTACTGATAGAAACCGGTAATTTAAGCCCCGGGAACTAGAGTGGCGAACCACGAAAGGCACTGAAAGGTTAGGCGTGGCCGTGAAACGGACGAAAGTAAAGAGGCCTACCACCGCAATTGAGTGGCGGTGGCGGGGTCCGAACCTCAGATCACAGGGTTCAAAGCACGCCGGTGACAGCGACTAAAGCCGCTTCACCAAATTGTTTAAACGCATGGGACTGTGCGTGAAAACTGGAGAAATCTCCGAGTAAATACAATCCTCACTTTCGTGTAACAAATAAAACATTTTTTGCGTCGGGAAACGTTTTGGTCAGCCGTCGTATCACGTAAAAATGCCGGGAGCCATCAATGGCAAAGATCAGGACATTGATTCATTAGGTGAATGTAACCTATCGGTGTGAACGTGCAGTTGAATTCATCCCAAACTCTCCTTCTCTAGTGCCACACCCATTTCTATTGTGACCGTTACATTTGCGCTGCAGTTGACCGCTCAATGAAGCACCTAATACGGGCTCGTTTGATACTTTGCCTTCTAATGCAAACATTGGATAAATTTGCCTCAACCTGAACAGATGACTCTCGAACAAGTGAGAGCAAACCCCATTCCCTGGAAGGAAACTCCATGACCAACCTAAGCAACGGCTGGAAGTCAGGATCGTGCCTCTATTCAATTCGTGCCCATCTGGTTTACCAGTATAGCGTATCTTCATGTGACCGCTGTTCCAAGCTATTCAGTTGTTCCAGTTACTCCACTTTCACTGACCGTGCTTATAGGTGGCTAGAAGACGGCAACTAAAACCAGTATACAAAAAAGTAAGGTCATACAAATTGAGACTTAAATTCAAAATGTTTTCTTAATTCGAAAATACTTGAGAAGATCGGGAACAGATGTTTCTGGTATCTACTTCTGATGAATT